ACATCGGGAAGACAAGCCCAGGGAGACATCCGGGCATCGGGAAGACAAGCCCAGGGAGACATCCGGACATCGGGAAGACAAGCCCAGGGAGACATCCGGGCATCGGGAAGACAAGCCCAGGGAGACATCCGGGCATCGGGAGACAAGCCCAGGGGGACATCCGGGCATCGGGAAGACAAACCCAGGGAGACATCCGGGCATCGGGAAGACAAACCCAGGGAGACATCCTAAGCTCTAGTCATACCATAGCGCCAGTCAAACGTCTAATATAAGACTTACATTTAATCCTAGAATTCCCAGGGACATTATGGCTCTCAATCAGTTCCCATTCAATAAATAAATAAAATATGCCAAACAAAGTTTTGAAGCTGGTTTCATTTGTTATGTGTTGTTGTTAGGATTTATTTGTAGGTTATTTGAGTAGATCACAAGTAGGTCACAAGAAGCTTTAAAGGTTAGTTCAACTATAAAGTGTGACATACGATATGTTAACAACAAAAAATATACTGGGGTCCATGAAGGCACTGAAACTATTAAAATGGGTTTGAACTGCAAGTAAACTGCTATGTAATTTCTTAATGGAGGTTAGTTGAGGGGAGACCTAACAGCCCAGAGAGCGTGATGCCATGATGAGGTCCAGCTCACCCATGATCTGGGGCAGGGAGGAGCCCTCCAGGTCCAGCAGGACGGTACACGACTGCAGGTAGGTGCGCAACTCAAACAGGCTGTGCAGTGACAGGGTGGAGACGTGCGGTTTGCTCCAGCGCTCCCCACCCTTCTCCACCTTCTCCTCAAACTTCACCCACCTGATGAAAGACATGGTGAGAAGTTGGTAAAAGACGGGCAGGTAAAAAGTGTGTCTCCCATGTTTACAGTAAAAGACGGGCAGGTAAAAAGTGTGTCTCCCATGTTTACAGTAAAAGACGGGCAGGTAAAAAGTGTGTCTCCCATGTTTACAGTAAAAGACCTACCTGGCCGACTCCATCCATTCTAGCTCGGTGCCATCATGCTGTAGAGTGTCCATCTCAGTGAAGAGGGTGGGTGTCGGCATGTCATCGTCACCGAGGATGTAGCGCAGGCGCTCTGCTGCTGGTGAGACTGGGAGCGGGGGAGAGACATGTCCTGTCAGCCCAGCCGCCTGGTAACACCCTCACCAAACCTACACCCCCATGCAGATCACAGAGCCCATCTGGAGAAGCAAGACCTTCACTGTCTACCTCTAGTGGAAAACAATGTGCTTTCACATTTATATAAACGCACACACACATACAGTGGCACCTCAGTTCTCGAACTCA